TGCATTAAGTGCTGCGGAACTGCCAGAGGAGGGCAGGGGGAAAGCAGTGCCATGGAGCTAGGTCTGGGAAGCAGGACCAGAGGGTTGCAGGCGAGAGCAATCTGGCCAGGAAGAGGAACAGGGGAAAAAACAGCCTAACAAGAGCAAGAATGTACAGACCATTGGCCAAAGTGTGCAACAAAAGCACATTCTTCATTCCTAAGACTAGAACCACTAACTGAAATATTAACCTTGCCTAGCTGCCACCTGGGCAAACCGGAGCTTTTACCACAGCACATCCTGTGCCTGCAACACCATCTGTGATGACACAGTGCCTGGCACACCGCAGGTGGCAGTGAGGGTTACAGGGTGAATGCAAGCAATGGAATGGGGAGCATCACCTTTCATCTTTCAAGGAAGCTAACTACCAGGCACCTCCTCCTGCTCTCTGAAGTGATCAAAGTGTTCAGGGGAAAGTGCCATGCCATACGCAACTTACTGTCAAATGGTTCAGAAAAAAAAAAATTGTGCATGCATACATTTCTATACATGAGTATAAACACCCAGGGGAGATACAGCAAATAAAATAAAATGCTAACAATAGGTACATCTAATACAGGATATGCAAGTGTTCTTGCACTAATTGTATTCTTGCAACTTTTCCGTAAGTTTGACTTTTTTTTTAAGGAATATATTTCTTAATGTATTTTTTATTGATTTCAGAGAAAAAGGGAAAGGGAGAAAGAGACAGAAACATCAATAATTCGAGAATTACCAATCGGCTGCCCCCACATGCCAACCACCAACTGAGAACTCCTAGTTTATATAAACATTTTCTACCAAATGTTTACTTTAAAAGCAACAACAAAACAATTAATTAGCTAATGAAGTTGGAAAAGTGTCACACTACTTTCCAACTAAAAGAATTAAATTATAAAAACCAGAGCCCAGTCTGCTAGTAGGGCAAGTTCTATAGTGCTACAAGGTGGTAGGCTGTGGAGCAAAGAACTCCAAACTCAGAAGCCACTTGGCCAGCCTAAGTGCAGGCTCAACTTTCTAGCTACTACTATAAGCTTCAACCAGTTCAGCTTATAAAATATCCACGTTTCCTATTCGTTAACCTGTATGCTGCTCCAGTGCAGTGGCCACTTCTCAGCCCACTGAGGAGGATTTATCAGTTCAGCATATCCAGCAGGTCCCTAATGGCCATGGGGAAGAACCCTGACCTAGGAGGCAGCTCCAGTGGGTCTGAATCCCAGCTTCTCTGCTCTCCAGCTACGTGACTTTATACAAGTCACTTGCCTCTCCCAGCCAGCTTTCTTTATCTGAAGGCACACAGTTCCAGTCCTGCTACATCACCTCTAGGGCCAGGGAACTCAGCCAAGACCATGCTCTCTCAGGAAAGGTAAACATTTTCTCAGCTAAGTATGGTGGAGTCAGCCTGGACGGAGCTATGGCTAAACCCATGGCATGATTTTCTTTCATAACTGATGCTTAGGGGGGAAAAAAAGTTTTAGAAATCAGCAATTGATGTTGCATTCCCTGTACAGATAAAGGGTCAGGGAGACGATACTGCAGTCAGTGGCCCTAAATGCCCCTTTATTTATGTACGTCACCCCTCAGGAAAGATCCCCAACCTTTCTAACATCTTGGGGAGACAATACACATCTTCATAGGTCATTACGGTTACCCACAGAAGGAATTAGGGGGAGGGCTGGTCCTATCCCTCAAACCAGGGTATTCAGAGGGAAAAAGCTTCAGAATCCCCACCTTGTGAGCCACTGGGTCCTCAGAAGAAAAGCGGCCCAGGGCTCCACGGCAGGGGTTAAAGATAGAACACTCATCAGCCCCTGGGAAAGGTGCACAGTGGAATCAGGCCAGACTTCTAGGATTGAATCTCTTCTCAGCCACTTAGCTTGATGAGCTCTCTGTATTACAATTTCCCTATCTGCAAATGGAGCTAATAAGAGTATCTAGCTCACGGGGACCACCTGAGAGTTAACACATGTTCTTACTACAAAAGCCTCTGGCATGTAACACATCCTCAGTCAAGCCACATCAGACATGCATTTAAAATAAACCTTGGCCAAAGGTCAAGTTCAGCACTCCTGTGTGGCCCATTGCCCCAGTTTGTGGAAAGCCTCGTGCCCTGGCCTGCATTAGAGGAGCCAATATTGGCTTGGTCCCCGTCCTCAGGGGCTGTCCCTGGCAGAAACTGGAAGACACCTACTTGCCTGCCTCCCTCCCATCTGGGAAACAGGTTCTGACAGGTGCCCTCCTCACACCCGAGTATGAGTCTAAGTCAGGATTCCAATAGAAGGAATGCAGACTAACCCCCTCGAACATGCCAGCCAGCAGACCCCTGCCTGGGAAGGAGGCACAGCACACAGAACATCTGACCCAGAGTGGCACTTGCCCTTGCTGCCCAAACACCGTCAAGGGAGCCAGCTGGAGTCCCCCAATTGTAAGGCAAGTAGAGATACCACTGGGGGCCACCACAAAGCTCTAATATGGAGTGTCATGGAATGAAAAAGGTAACTTTGCCCCCTCTGCCACAGGTGCCTCCCTGCCCCAACTCAGCCCAAGAGCAATGTCTTCTGTGAAGCCCTCCCCTGCTTCACAGGTACAAACGGTTGGCCATCCCTGACACCTGCCTAGGCCAACACACTTAGTGGACCAGTTTACACCTGGACTCTCTTTCCACACCTAAAGGGCACTCCCAGAGGAAGGGGTTTATTCTATTTGAGCATCCCTGGAAGATGGCAGCTATCAAACACTCAGACGCTTGTTGAATTACTGCTGGCCAGTTAGCAGGACGTGTGGACAGACAGAAAAGGAGTTGGGAACATTGGTCACCTCCACCATCCAGGTAGGAGATGCTGGACCTGGAGCCAGAGGCACCCCAAGGAAGAAGTCATGTTGGTACATGGCTTCACTCAGTCCAGTGACCTAATGTGCAAAACTGGGAGCCACAAGCCAGAACAGGATGACGCCTCACCTTTCTACAGGTGTAGACTTGTGTTTTGTTGTTATTTTAATACATATTTTATTGGTTTCAGAGAGAAAGAGTGTGAGAAAGAAATATTAATGATGAGAATCATTTGACTGGCTACCTCCTGCACGCCCCCAAAATTAGGGATTGAGCCTATAACCTGGAAATGAGTCCTTGATCGGAATCGAACCCGGGACCTTTCAGTCTGCAGGCCGTCACTCTACCCACTGAGCCAAACCAGGTAGGGCTAGACTTGTTTTCTAAATCACCTCATCACAACCCACAATCCATTAGCTCTGGTCCCCAAGAGGCCATACAGTACCCGCCTAGATAGGTGGCCCTTTTCCTGGCTTCCTTCCCTACCGAGGCTGTCCTAGAACCAGTCATCCTGCTGCTGAGAAGTATCACTGCAGAGACTCCAGGCTGAGCCGAGGGTCTTGGCCACAAGATAGTCAAGAGGCTCAGTGTGCCTAGGGTGGGAGCCTGGCTAGGGCACGGTGGAGGATCAGCCGCATACCACTGTGCTCCCCAGCCTGCCTTCACCCACTGAGGCCTGACAGCTCACAGAAGACAGCCTCAAGTACCCCCACCTTCATGGGACCCCCCTTCCTGCTCCTGGCTACCTGGCCCCAATTAAGAATCATACTTTTCATCCCAGCTGGGTGGCTCAGCTGGTTGGAACATCCTCCCATACACCAAAAGGTTGCAGGTTTGATTCCGGGTCACAGCAGCTTCAATCTCCAGAAGGAGCGAGGATGGGAGGCAACCGATCAAAGTTTCTGTTTCTCTCTCTCTCTTCTCTCTCTCTCCGAAATCAATGAAAACATATCCTCGGGTGAGGGTTAAAAATTAAACACACACACACACACACACACACACACACACGAGGGTTAAAAATTAAACACATACACACACAATTTTATAGTTAAAAGGAAATCATACTTTTTAACTGCATTATTATTTTTAAAAAATGAATGCCTATATATATAGTACATTACATTCTCTTTGATCTAAAAGTTCAAATTTTCCTGTTGATTTGAGAAGAAATCAAACATTTTCACAAACTCCTAAAAGCACTGTTGGCCCCCAGCACTGCCTCTCCCGTGCCTATTCGGTAAATCAGCCCTGAATTTGGGGGTTTGGATTTCTTGCTGCAGTTCAGATGGGTACACCAGAAACAGGTAGAGATTAAAAACAAAAACAAAACAAAAAAAAAAAACTGTCTGGGACCTTCTAGCTGCCATGATCTGAACCCCTACCACAGGTTTTTCATAGAAACACAAGTTCCGAGGGGAGTTCTCAAGGCATTTAATCATCACATACAAGGAGCAGTCCTGAGTACCCGGCACTGTCCAGGCTCCCACGACTGGGACACACCTGCAGGGAGGGGAGCGCGTCAGCCTCTGCCCCAGGACAGACCCGAGGGATGCTGGGCGGCCTCCTACCACTTCCTCCCGTCCAGTCTCTGAGCTGAGTCCCTCTCAAGGGTAACACCTCACTGAGAGGCAATGGAGCCACACTGGCTACTGCTTGCCAGCCGAGGGGTTTCCGGGCCTGAGACGCTGGCATCAGCCCACTGCTGGGAGGAAGCAATGGAAGCCAGGAGCCTCTACGAGCTGCTTTCTGCACCTAATCCCAGCCTAACTCCAGCCGCTGGACCAGAAATGAGGGTGCAGCTCCTTGGAGAGAAGGAACTCCATCACTCTCGCTTCCACCCCCCTCAAAGCATGTAGTGGCTCCACAAACCTGGACCCAAAGGCCACAGAGTTTCTTCTTCTTCTTCTTCTTTTTTTTTTTTTTTTAATACATTTTATTGATTTTGTTACAGAGAGGAAGGGAGAGGGATAGAGAGCTTGAAACATTGATGAGAGAGCAACATCAATCAGCTGCCTCCTGCACACACACACACACACACACACACACCCGGGGATGTGCCCGCAACCAAGGTACATGCCCCGGACCGGAATCGAATCTGGGACCCCTAAGTCCGCAGGCCGACGCTCTATCCACTGAGCCAAACCGGTTACAGCGAGAACAAAGTTTCTGGATGTACCAGGCGCTCGAGCCCACCAGGTAGTCAGGGCACGGTCCCGCCGGTGCGCGGTCCCGGGAAGCGGGACGCGGCGGACCGCGGGTAGGCCTCCGTAGGCGTCCGCCTGGGACACGGCCCCACCGAGCGGAAGGAGGTCCGGGGCGACCCCGGCCCTGCGCGCCCCGCCCCCGGCCGCCCCGCCCTCACCCCACCCCCGCCCCGCGCACCTGGTCGCAGCGGCTCGGTGACGGTGAGCACGAGCAGGAAGAGCAGCAGGAAGGCACCGCTGTCTGCCTTGGGCACCATTTATCCTCCGTTCATCGTCCCCGGGGCGGCCGCGTGACCCCGCGGGGAGGCCGAACCGGGCCTGGCTGAGGGTCGGGAGGCTGGGCCGGGGCCGGGCGTGAAGAGGTGACGGGAGGGGGCCTCCGGCTGGGCCGCGGCTGAACGGGACCGGGGGTCCTCGCGCCCTCTCAGATGCAGCCTGAAGGTTCCGACCGCAGCCTGAGGTTACGACCGCGGGCTAGCGCGCGCTCAGCCGCAACCTAGGGTTCCGACTTTGGCTCCGCGCAAGATGGCGGCCGTCCTGTTCGGCTCTGCGACTCCTCTGCTTCCCGCCCCCGACGCCGGCGTCGACCAATCAGCGTCGAGGAGGGGGGCAGGGCCTGCGCGCTCCCAATGCTGGCGGACCCTCGGCCGAGCGGGGGCGGAGCCTGGGCAGCAGAGCCCGAAGGGGCGAGGCGATAGGTCGGGGTGGGGAGGAGCCAGTCTGGCGGGGGCGTGGCTTAAGGAGCGAAGCGCCATTGGCTGGACAGAGAGGTGTGGCTCCGGGGTGTAACCTGAGCTGAAGGGCCTAGGATCTCAGAGCGCAGCGGAGAGACGGGCGATTGGACCTAGTGGACCGGGCGATTGGACCTAGTGGACAGGACACCAAAAGGGCGGGGCGCAGTGAAGACGGAGAAATGGGGAGTGGCCCCGGGGTGGGAGGTGGGGGCAGCCAGTGAAAGAAGAGGGGCAGGATGAGAAGGAGCCAAGGAGTGCTGGGACACAAAGGGTCGCACACCTTGCACATCTGCCAGGCCGAGGTCCGGTCCTTGGCCTGTAAAGTGGCCTTTTTCAGAAGGGTTGCGCCCTGGCTGAGGGCCTCAGTTTGTTGGAGCACTCTTGCCGTGCATCAGAATGGCTGCAGGGCCCTAACCGGTTTGTCTCAGTGAATAGAGCATCGGACTGAAGGGTCCCAGGTTTAATTCTGGTCGAGGGCATGTACCTTGGTTTCAGGCTCATCCCCATTAGGAGGTGTGCAGGAGACAGCTGATCGATGTTTCTAGTTCTCTATCCCTTTTCCTTCCTCTCTGTAAAAAAAAAAAAAAAATAAAAAATAAATAAATAAATAAATAAATAAATAAAATATGTTGTTTGTTTTTTTAAAAATGGCTGCAGGTTCGATTCCAGGTCAGGGCACATAGGTTGCACGTTCCATCCCTGGTCAGAGCCCAGGGATCTTTCTCTCTTTCTCCCCCCCCCCCCTCTCTCCCTCTTCTTTTCTAAAATCAATAAACATATCAAGTGAAGATTAAAAAAAGTTAAAAAAAAAAAAAAACCCTGCAAAAAAGGGATAAAGAAAACTGGAAGGACTCAAGTTTGAGAAGATAGGAAAGGAGGATGCTGTCAGGCACAGGCTGGAGTGGCTTCACTGCCACACACAACTGAAAAGGAAGAAGTCTAAAGGAGTATCATGCTCCCCCCACCTCCCCCACCCCCAGGTGTGGCTCTGGGATTGAGCTTTGAACTATGAACCAGGAGGTCATGGTTTGATCCCTGGTCAGGCACACGCCCAGTTGCAGGCTGGATCCCCGTAGGAGGCTTGCAGGAGGTGACCAATCAATGATTCTCTATCATCGATGTTTCTATCTCCCTTCCATTCTGGAATCAATCCTATCCTATATAATAAAAGGCTAATATGCAAATTGTCCCCTCCACCAGGAGTTCGACTGACCAGAGACAGCCCACCAACGGCCTGCAGCTACTCCCCCTGGCTGACTGGACCCCACCCATGCACAACCAGGCCTCTAGTAATATTTTAAAATAAAAATAAGGAGTAAAAAAAAAAAAAAAAAAAAATGAGTCATTTTGAGTCATTCTATAGAGACCCTGTAGTAAAGTTGGTCTCTGGAGGAAGGGCCCTGCCTACACGATGGGGGAGTAGGGGAAGGCACATAAGACCAGATCTGCATTGAATAAAGCCACTGGGGACGATGCTTTAAGTACCGACTCCATATCTCGTATCTGGAGCAAGGAGACTATGGGAGGGACCCAGCAGATAAGGTGTTCTCAGTAGGAGAGAGGAGCAAGCTGTCCAAAGGCAGGCCCAACAGCAAGCACACAAGACCTGGCCCAGGGTGTCAGGGCTGGATAAGAAGGTGAAGGGCCAGTGTGACTCAGCTGAGCGTTGGTTGTTGCAACAAAAGATCCCTGGTTTGACTCCCAGTCAGGGCACATGCCTGATTTCGAGTTCGATCCCTAGTTGGAGTGTGTGCCAGAGGTGACCAATCAATGTTTCTCTCTCGTATCAATGTTTTTCTCCCTCTCACTAACTCTCCTAAAAAAAAAAAAATTAAAAATTAACAAAAACATTTTTAAAAAATAAAAAAGAAGCCCTAGCCGGTTTGGCTCAGTGGATAGGGCATTAGTCCATGGACTGAAGGGTCTAAGGTTTGATTCCGGTCAAGGGCACATGTCGGGTTGTGGGCTCGACCCCCAGTAGGGGGCGTGCAGGAGGCAGCCAATCAATGATTCTCATTCTTTTTTTTTTTTTTTTAAATATATTTTATTGATTTTATACAGAGAGGAAGGGAGAGAGATAGAGAATTTGAAACATCGATGAGAGTCATCGACCAGCTGCCTCTTGCACACCCCCTACTGGGGATGTGCCCTTGACCGGAATCAAACCCGGGACCCTTCAGCCCCCAAGCCGACACTCTATCCACTGAGCCAAACCGGTGCCAAACCGGTCCGGGCTTTTTTTTTTTTTAATATATTTTATTGATATTTTACGGAGAGAAGGAAGGGAGAGAGAGAGCTAGAAACGTCGATGAGAGAGAAACATCGACCAGTTGCCTCTTGCACAACCCCTGCCGGGGATGTGCCCGCAACCAATGTACATGCCCTTGACCGGAATTGAACCTGGGACCTTTCAGTCCGCAGACCGACGCTCTACCACTGAGCCAAACCAGCTTCGGCCTCTCTCATTCTTGATGTTTCTATCTCTCCCCTCTCCCTTCTTTTCTGAAATCAATAAAAATATGTTTATAAAAAATAAAAAAGAGGGTGAAGGTGAGAGCAGAGAAAGAGGGAAGGGCAAGGCTAGTGAGGACCCATCCTGACCTGGCCCACCTCCACTCCACTGACTCACTCCAGGATCAGTCCTCTCAAGCTAACTCAAGGCATGGTTCTCCTGAGTGTCTGTCCCTTAATCTTGGGACACTCAGGATTGTCTGAGAGAGAGGCACCCACTTTCTCAGGGCGGATGTAGCCAAGGTTAAACCCAAGACTAGGCCAGACCTGCCTGCTCCTGCTCCTGCTCCTCAGGGTGTGGCCCTGAGCTGGAGCTAGAGTCTAAGGGGCTGTCACAGCAGAGACGCCCCACTGCTGGCAGAAATTGGTCCCTGTCCAATGCTGACCTCTCCCCTTGTACCATCCTCAGGGAGCATTCCAGGAGCAGCTGATGGCACTCAAAGCAGGATCAAGGTCCAGCTTCTGTCCCAGCCCCAGATCTGCCCGAGGAGCCCAGCCCAGGCTATGGTCTCGGCAGACCCCCCAAGAAGGAACACACAGCCAAGAGCAGAAACCTCTGCCATTGGTCCCCGCCAAAGCCACCATCAGAGAAGCAGGCTGCCTAAGGTTTGGATGAGGAAGCACAGGGAGGTGAAGAGCCCAGCTAAACCATTCAGGAGAGGCCAGAGCCCTGATTTCCTAAAATCAGTGACCCTGGGCCTGGAGTCTCTGCCCCACCTGATTCACCCGGCTGCATGGCCCGCAGGCCACCTGTGCAGACAAAGGCAAGGACTGCCAAGACTGAAGGGGGGGGGGGGGAATAGGGATGTTTCTCACCAGCTCCTTGCCTCTACCTAAGGTCACTGCCTCTCTCAAGGTCACCCTCTCTATACCATCCTTCCCAGGTTCCAATGACCATTGGAACTTTGGTTGGGGTTTCCAGCACTCTGCTCCCACCTTTGTAAATTATGCCCTTGTTATACCCTCAGGCTGCCCCAACTGGAGTAAGTCCTGGTTTCTGCTGAGGCCTGGACTGATACAACCACCCGCCCTGAATTTCCAGGATTGCAATCATCAGCCCCACCACTGGCCTAGCAGTCCTAGTTCCACGTTTGGAGGCACGGGTAGACGAAGATGCCCTCTCCCCCCTCCTCCGAGTCCCCTGCTACCTCGAGTCCCAGCCAAGAGTGAGGTCACTCTCTGTAGGCGTTTGCTCTGCGGCCTACTGGCCAGCCTTCCAGGATTCTGATTCCAAAGGTTCTAGTCAGAACCTCATTATCCCAGACACTCCTCCTCTGTGACTTCACCCACTGAAGTCGTCCGGGAGACGATGCTGAACGTTCCACCCCAGAGTCTGGGCCTCTCTGGGAGGCATGGACAGCAGGCCAGGCCAGCCTAGAGGACTACCCGTCCACAGTGTAAATGAGGACACGGCTGGCCCATGTCTTGCAGGGATGTAGAGGGCAGCCTCCGAGGCACTGGGTGCTCCTGGCACCATGGATGATGCTGCCATCCTCAAGCGACGAGGCTATATCATGGGGATAAACTTGGGAGAGGGCTCCTACGCCAAAGTCAAGTCCGCTTACTCTGAGCGCCTAAAGTTCAACGTGGCGGTCAAGATCATCGACCGCAAGAAAGCCCCCACAGACTTCTTGGAGAAATTCCTTCCCCGGGAAATCGAGATTCTAACCATGCTGAACCACCGCTCCATCGTCAAGACCTACGAGATCTTCGAGACGTCCGACGGCAAGGTCTACATTATCATGGAGCTCGGGGTCCAGGGCGACCTCCTCGAGTTCATCAAAACCCGGGGGGCCCTGCACGAAGATGATGCTCGCAAGAAGTTCCACCAGCTCTCCTCCGCCATCAAGTACTGCCACGACCTGGACATTGTCCACCGAGACCTCAAGTGCGAGAACCTTCTCCTCGACAAGGACTACAACATCAAGCTGTCCGACTTCGGCTTCGCCAAGCGCTGCCTGCGGGATGACAGCGGCCGACTGATCCTGAGCAAGACCTTCTGCGGGTCGGCCGCGTACGCGGCCCCCGAGGTCCTGCAGGGCATCCCCTACCAGCCCAAGGTCTACGACATCTGGAGCCTGGGCGTGATCCTCTACATCATGGTCTGCGGCTCCATGCCCTACGACGACTCCAATATCAAGAAGATGCTGCGCATCCAGAAGGAGCACCGCATCAACTTCCCGCGCTTCAAGAACCTGACCAGTGAGTGCAAGGACCTCATCTACCGCATCCTGCAGCCCGACGTCAACCGGCGGCTGCACATCGACGAGATCCTCAGCCACTGCTGGGTGCAGCCCAAGGCCCGGCTCCTGTTCTCTGCAGCCATCGACAAGGATGGGGAGACCTCAGCGACCCCCGCTTTTGAGGCCTCGGGGGTCCAGGAACCCCCATGGGCCCCTGAGCCTGGCTCTGACAAGAAGTCTGCCACCAAGCTGGAGCCCCAGGAGGCCCAGCCTGAGATGAACCCAGAGTCACAACCCAAGGAGGAGATTCTGCAAGAGGCGTCGAGGCTGTTGGATACCAGAAGCGCAGACCCTATAGAGGGCCGGCCAAGCAGGGACACAGAGGAAAGGGGAGCCCCGAAGCCTGCAGACACGCACACCTCGTGAGCCTCTCACATGGCCCAGGGGCTGGCAGGGGATGAGGCAGAGCTCACAGCTTCGAGCCTGAGCTCCAGAGAAACCAAGGGACAAGCCACTGAAGGAAGACAATCCGGGATGAGCCATTATTTTCGTCAGTTTCTTTTCCCTCCCTTTGAATTTGGTAAAAAAAAAAAGCAATAAATAACTATATTAGTGCAGATTGTAAGGTGAATGTCTTTGCCCCAGCTGGTCGTCTAAGGAGAGGATCCACCCCACCACACCCCAAGTTTGGAAAACACATCCCAGTGTGCCCAGCCATGACCATGACCACAGCAGAGAGCTGGGGAGGAAGATGCTGCTTCAAGAGGGAGGCTATGAGTGTGGTGCTGGGGGAGACGGGACCCGGAGGGGGCAGGACCAAGGAGGGCTGCCTGTAACAGAGGGGTGGAGAGGAGGATCTACACGTCTACTGGTGAGGAGGGATCTGCTGAGAGCAGATGCACCAGCTTCTCAGACTCTCTTGAGCTCCCCTCCTTAAAGGGCAACTTAGTTTTCCTGCTTGGTCCGCCAGGGGTTCTCTTATGTCCAGCAGGCTCCCAGTTCTCCATGGTGCCGAGTCATCCCACTCTGTGGTCATCCTCCCGGCTCAGGTGAGGCAGGAGGCTCTGCTGGGCAGCCCAGCCACACTCCCGCCCACATGTCCCACAGCTGTGTGGCCTTGACCTCACCCTGTTCCCCTCAGGTCCCCGTCTGTCCCCAGGGATGATGCTCCCCACCAGAGTAGATAAGCTGATAGTGGTCAGAGACAGAACAGGTGTCCTCACAATGCATGCCTGACCACTGCGGTGTCTGTATCCCGCAGCGGGAGCAGGCTTGCATGTTAATATCACCAACCACGTGCTCTGCAGGGCCCTGCTCGGCCTTGTCTATGCAGTCCTCACCTCTGCCGTGGTGGCCCTCTCTCTTCCCTCTCTGCACTCAGTGACAGCTTCTTGTGCACCTGCAGGGTTAACACACCGAGAGGGCAAGAGCCTTCAGACTCACCCCATCCCAACACCTCTGTTTTAGGAAAATCTGGAGAAGTGAGACCCAGTGAGTGTCCCAGACCTGCCCTCTGCAACCCTCCCCACAGTTAGTCCACTGCTCTGCCTGGCTCCGCCCTCCCCACAGCCCATTTTCCCACGGTGTCCTCATATGCCCTGCTATTGCCTCCCACAGCACCCAGTCTGGCTCCCTCTGCTGAGGGGAAGGATCCCAGTGTCTGGCCTTTGACCTTTGAGGTCCTCCCAGGTCTGACCTCTTGCTGGCCGCCCACCCCTCACATACATGTTATAATCATCCCTTCAGATCTGGCCTCTGTCTCCAGGCTCATGAGGGGGCATGGCCTCCACATGGCCTCCTGGGGGCCCCTACAGCACTCAGCAGCCAGCCACTGAGCTCCACCAGGCAGGCCAGTGAGTGCCCACGGTCCAGGCACAGAACAGGGCTGAAGACGTGGTCAGCAAACTGTGGCTCTTTGGCCCCTTGAGTGTGGCTCTTCCACCAAATACCACGGCCTGGGCCAGTCTATTTGGTATATGGGACGATGTTCCACCCAACTGAGCCACACACCCAGGGCATTGGGCAAGTCTATTTGGAAGAAGTGGCGTTAGAAGTTTAAGTTTAAAAAATTTGGCTCTCGCCGAAGCCAGTTTGGCTCAGTGGTAGAGCGTCGGTCTGCAGACTGAAAGGTCCCAGGTTCGATTCCAGTCAGGGGCATGTACATTGATTGCGGGCACATCCGCGGTAAGGGGTGTGCAAGAGGCAGCTGGTCGATGTTTCTCTCTCATCGATGTTTCTAGCTCTCTCTCTCTCTCCCTCCTCTCTGTAAAAAATCAATAAAATATATATTTTTTAAAAAATTTGGCTCTCAAAAGAAATTTCAATCGTTAGCCTGTTGATATTTGGCTCTGCAGAATCATGAGTTTGCCGACCACTGGCCTAGAGTAACACTGGAGCTGTCCCCCAATTTTTGAGTGAAGACTGAAGGCTCCAGGGGCCCAGTCACGCAGCGCGGCTGATGGTGGGGTGGAATCTCGGAGACAGGGACATCCTGAGGAGAGGCGCCTGAGCACCCACCTCTCGCCATCCCTGCAGCCTGCTGCGGTCCTCAAGGAGGACCCAATTCTTTTTTTCTTTTTCTTTTTCTTTTTTTTTTTTTTTTTTTTTTTATATATTTTACTGATTTTTTACAGAGGAAGAAGAAAGGAATAGAGAGTTAGAAACATCGATGAGAGAGAATCATCGATCAGCTGCCTCTCGCACACCCCTTACTGGGGATGTGCCCGCAAACAAGGTACATGCCCTTGACCAGAATAGAACCTGGGTCCTCACAACCAGCCCCTTCTGGGACACAATGGAGTGAGTACTGGTCCGTTAAGCCTAAAAGACTCCCCAGGAGAGAGCGGGCCTCAGAGTGTAAACAGGCCCCAGGGAGGACTGGCTGCTGGAGGGCAGTCGACCACTGTGGGCTCACCCCGCTGGGACCAGTCACTCCCGCCTGGCACCTGGGCTCTGGCTGTCCGGCCACTGCCATCTTCAACATGGACCTCCAGACACACGCTCCACGTGCCTCCATAGAGCTGTGCTCTGGGCAACGTGCTACTTCCGCCTGCCATGCCCTGCCCCTTGTCACCTGGTGGACGGAGCAGTGTCGCCTCTGCATGCCAGCGCCACGTCCCACACCGGAGCAGGCCTTCCTTCGTCTCCCCGGAACGCAGAGCACACGGCACACCTGTCCTGGCCACTCGCTACGTGTGGGCATGGGATGCCGGTGACAGAAAACAAACGAACAGCGGGGCTTCTGAACTACCCAAGGTGTATACAGGAGGCTGTGTTTTCCAAAGCAGCACTCCACACCGGCCCCGAAGGAAGGTTTTCGCATTGCTTCCAGGCGCAAAAGGCGGTTTCAGTGACGCAAAGGATGCTTCCCAGGGTCCCAACAGCTCGACGTGTCACCCCTCACAGAGGCCCACACTGACACAATCCACCCGGGTGCTCGCTCCTAACAGGACGCTGGCCCTCAGCACCCCCAGGACCGCAGCTCCCAGGCTCCGCCCGGGCCCTGCCCAATCACTGAGCAGCACACTAGCCCGTGGTCTCCCTCCGTCGCCCAGAATCCCCAGGCCCACCCTAGTCCGGCCTCCTGTTGCCTGGTCAAAGGTACCGGCCTCCACTCGCCCCAAAGCCCATTCTCGACGCTGCCATCGCAAAACGTGACTTGGGCCACAGCTCTCCTTCCCTGCGCCCTGCAGCGGCTGCCCATCCCTCAGGGAAGAGCCCCCACTTAGTTTTCCCCCCACCTCCCTCCTGTCTGGGGGACTCAGCCATTCTCAGAACAAGCCCCTTCCTCTCTCTGACTCTTCCCTACCTGGATGCCTGTCACCTCCTTCTATCTGACTCTCTCCCCAGCCTCCAGGCCTGCCCGTCCTCAGAGCGCATCTGGGGCCTGCAGCACCCCAGAGCCTGCCTGGCCTTCCACCCCCACACATCCTGTTCACTACAGCGCTCATCCACCCAGCCCTCTGCCCCACACAGAAGCTGCTCTTGTCCACGAGAAGCTTGGAACCACTGCCAGCCTGGCCAGACCACAGCAGTCCCTCCAGTTCCGAGGACACAAGCCGCGGATGGAGCCAGGGTTAGTTTCCCGCCGTTTCCTCCACGTGGCTGAGAAGCTGCAGGAAACTAACCCTCGGGAGACAGGAACTAACCCAGGGTCAGTCCCCACGGCCGAGAAAGGAAAACTAGCATGGGACTGGCACTCCTGTAGCCCCACCTTAGGCCTGACTCCTGACGGGGAAGCTGTGGCGAGGAGGGGCAGGGACGGTTACCGCAGTCCTAGGTGCCGGCTGCCTGACGGTGGGCGGGAACAGGCACTGCTGCCACGCCAGCCTGGCTTCCAAGGTTCCAGGGGCCCTGTTCCCCCCCCAGCCCAGGTCCCACTCCCGGGCGCCTGGCTTTATGACTTCACATGCTGAAGTCACGTGGAGATAATGCTGAGCATTCCACACGTCCGAGGAGGCCCAGCCAGACGGCTCCCCACGCTGTAAATGAGGACAATGCCTGCTGGCCCACGTGGGGAGGGGATGTAGAGGGCAGTGGCGCCAGCCACTCCTGGCACCATGGATGATGCCGCGGTCCTAAGGAAAAAGGGTTACATCGTGGGTATCAACCTTGGCAAGGGCTCCTACGCAAAAGTCAAATCGGCCTACTCCGAGCGCCTCAAGTTCAATGTGGCGGTCAAGATCATTGACCGCAAGAAAACGCCCTCCGACTTTGTGGAGAGATTCCTTCCTCGGGAGATGGACATCCTGGCCACCGTCAATCACCGCTCCATCATCAAGACCTACGAGATCTTCGAGACCTCGGATGGGCGGATCTACATTGTCATGGAGCTCGGGGTCCAGGGCGACCTCCTCGAGTTCATCAAGTGCCGGGGGGCCCTGCACGAGGATGTGGCTCGCAAGATGTTCCGCCAGCTCTCCTCCGCCGTCAAGTACTGCCACGACCTGGACGTCGTCCACCGGGACCTCAAGTGCGAGAACCTTCTCCTCGACAAGGACTTCAACATCAAGCTGTCCGACTTTGGCTTCTCCAAGCGCTGCCTGCGGGACTGCAGCGGGCGCATCATCCTGAGCAAGACCTTCTGCGGGTCGGCAGCATACGCGGCCCCCGAGGTCCTGCAGGGCATCCCCTACCAGCCCAAGGTCTACGACATCTGGAGCCTGGGCGTGATCCTCTACATCATGGTCTGCGGCTCCATGCCCTACGACGACTCCGACATCAAGAAGATGCTGCGCGTCCAGAAGGAGCACCGCGTGGACTTCCCGCGCTCCAAGAACCTGACGGGGGAGTGCAAGGACCTCATCTACCGCATCCTGCAGCCCGACGTCAACCGGCGGCTGCACATCGACGAGATCCTCAGCCACTCGTGGCTGCAGCCCCCCAAGCCCAAAGCCATGTCCTCCGCCTCCTTCAAGAAGGACGGCGAGGGCAAGTACCGGGCCGACTGCAAACTGGACACACGGCCGGGCTCATGCCCCGAGCACCGGCCCGACCACAAGCTGGGCGCCAAGACCCAGCACCGGCTGCACGTGGTGCCCGAGAACGAGGACAAGATGGAGGACAGGCTGGCAGAGACCTCCAAGGCCAAAGAGCACCACGTCCCCGGAGCCGAGGTGGGGAAGGCAGGTGCCTAGGGGGCGGGCGGCCGGGGGGGGGAGGGGAGCGCGCGTGGCGCACGGTGGCGCCCGCGTTAACGAAGTAGGCAGGTAGGAGCTGAAGAAGGCACAGGTGCAAGGAACAAGTAAAATCTGTCAATTAAACCGCTATTTTGATTACGTTCTGTTAGCTTTCTTCTACTTGGTAGCAAAGACCTTCATTGCTAACCAGCAAATAAACCACAACGTGTGAACAAGCATCGAGAGTGCCCCCCGAGGAGTCTTTCTCTCCAGGACGCAGCGTCTCCAGCACAGGGGTCCAGGGACCCGGGCTCCGGCGGAAGTGCTCACAGAGAGGGTGTGGCCAAGGCGGCCTCAGCCATGGACCACCCTGCCAGGCTCCTACCGGTCTCCCCGACTTGCCAGTGCCCAGAGCCTCCAGGGCTGCCAGGCGGGTGTGTCTCCCACCTCAGGTGCAGCACAGCCTGCTCTGACCCCATCCCACTTGCTCAGACAGCTCTTCCTCAGAGTTCTCCTCGCCCTCCCTCCCCTCGGCCCTTGGAGGATCCCCTTCATCCCCTGCACCCTCTTCCCTGCATTCCTGGTCACCCCACTCAGCAGCCCTATTCTGTCACACAGGGCACACTCCCAGCAGGCCAGCCACGTACCAGAAGGGGTCAGCACCTGGCCTTAGGTGGCCTTGACTGGACCGTCTCTCTCTGCATCTCACTCACGCCCACTCAGACCTCTGCTTTCCCATTTCCCTGGGGGCACCCTCAAGCCCAAGGCCACGCTTCCCCATGCGGGAAAAGTATCAAAACCCGCACTCTGCGCCCCAGACCTTGGTCCAAGCTCACCTGCTAAGCCCACCCAGCCCCTTGGTGGGGCACAGGGCACAGCCAGGACTTGGCCCCTGGAGTTTGCAGGAACTCACCGTCGAGGAGTGCAGGCTGGTGGTGTCCAGAAGGCGGCAGGCCCCGCACCAGCCTCCGGAGGCTGTTGGCACTCAGGAGGGCAGAAGAGGACCAGTGCAGGAGTCCTGGGGATGATGGCCTAGTGCGAGGGCTGGGGTGCTCGAAGCAGGACTCCGGTCTGAGGGGTTCCAGGTTGCCTCCCTGAGCAGCAAGCCCCCAAGGGCACAATCTGATCCCACTTGACGCAGAAGAACCCATCTGGCAAGCAGCCATGGTCTTGGACGCCCCCCCAACTCCATGTGAAGCAGCTGGCCCTAGGCCTTCTGGGAGTTTGGGCACCAATACACTCAGGCTGTCAAGCAAGCGCTGGCTGGTGGTATGAATGGTGCTGCATGAGCCAGGCCCTATTGCTTGACACTGGCCCAGGTTACTGTGACCTGGGGCCACTACTGGTGGCAGTGACAGGTGAGATTGGTGACTCGGCATCCTAAGACTGGCAGTGCCTGGAGCACAAGGGGTGGGGGGGAGGGGGAACAGGAAGATAGAGATGCTCTGCCCCACCTGAGCTAGAAGCCAGGGGCTTAGAAGTCATGGTAAGGCCACTGGGAAGGACCCCACACAGGAGTATGGCCAGAGCCCCAGGTGAACCCTAGAGGCTCAATTCCCAAGGGCTGCGTCCCTCCCTCAGAGAGCAGAATTTGGGGTTGGGGTCCTAGGGGACCAATATGCTGTGAGCTCAGCTCAGGTTTTAAGCCCGGGAGCGCCACAGAAAGCAATGCCGGCGGTGACGGGAAAGGTAAGACACCTAGCCATCCAAGGATCACCCCTCACAGCAATTTCGCCCATAATCCTGAGATCTTGATGCAAGCAAAGGGACGGCCCTGCAGACTGTGCTAGGTGTTGTTTAATTCCTGTTAAATAGAAACGGGCAGGGGTTCCATAGAAAAAAGTACCAGCAAAGCCCTGGGATGCACCCAAGGGCCATGGTGTGGGTCCGGTGCCAGCCTGGCCGTGACAAGGCACCTTTCTTCGGTGGCTCCTGGGACAGTCACTGCTTTTGGCCCGGGCCTGGGTTCCCCAAAAGGCCGGAGTCCTCTGCTGAACGGACAGCTGCCCCGCAGGCTCCACAAATATCCCGCGAGCCCGGCCCAGGCCCGGCCCTAGAAGAAGTCCGAGGCTCTGCGCCGGGCGGGGAGCTGCAGCAGGTTGTCTGTGATGGAGGCCGGGTCCTGGCTGAGGGGGGTGCGTGTGGCCGAGCCGGGAGCTGGGGTGCTCGTTGGGGTCTGGGGCCCGCCGGCCGGGGTCTTGAGGTGGGCTGAGCGTGCTGGGGACGGCGTGTAGCTGGCCCGCAGGGCCCGGTCTGTGTACTTGCTGGCCGTCCTGCTCACGAGGCGCTGCAGGGCTGGGGACATGGCTGGGCTCAGGCCTTTGGGGGTGAGGCTGGAATAGAGGGGGTGAGCGAGAGGGGCAGATGAGGCTGAATGGGGCACTGCCAGCAGTAGGGCTTGCCGCAGCTCCATAGGAAGACACACGGGAGACTCATGGTCACTCTGGGCCGAGGACACCAGTGGCCTGGCATGCAGCTGAATGCTGGTGCTGCCCTTGGCCATGGGGCTGGGTGGACCCCAATCTTCTTTAAGGGGAATGACATCCATGGTCACAGGTCTGACAAGAGCTCAGAGTGGGACAACAGGCCTTAAGGTACCTTTTAGGGGTGTGCCTAAGAGGCTGAAGAAGAAAACGAAGGGGCCCCCCCATCCTGGTTCATACAGGGCCTCACTGCGGACCAGGGAGCTGCCACGGGACCCATCGGAGGACAGCTGGGACTGCCCTGAAGACCGAATGTCCACACTGTTGGGGGTGGGGCCGAGGAGGAGCAGGGAGAAACCCCTTGAGGGTCAGACAGCCCTCACCTGGCCAGGTTCTCCGTCACTCTCCGCAAGGCCTCCTGCTTCTTGGCCCGGTTCTTGGCAGCAGCCTCGTTGGCCATCTTCAGCCCCAGCCGCTCCCTGCGGCCCGGCTCCAAGATCTACAAAGTGGGTGTGTGGGTGCTCACTGAGCTGGACAGTCCCTCCCGGCTGGAAGGGCTGACTCCCCCACGATCTCAACAACCCGACACCACCTCTCCTAAGAGCCCCCGAAGGCCTCCAACCGGCCAGGCCGAGCTGCCCACCGGCCAGCACGTTGCTCTCAAAGCCAGCACTGCTGGGTAGGAACCTCACAATCTTTTAGAAAAGATATACCACTTCTCTGAACTATCATATGCTACTACCCTGGGGAGCCCACGCTCTTGGGGAGGGGGAAGTTAGTGGTGTTCTCCTGGGGTTTCTTTGGAAGCTAAGTTCTCCTGGTTATTCTAAATTTCTGCCGCTACCGTGAGTGATATCAATTTTTTTTTTTTTTTTTTTTTTTTTAATTTTATTTTTTTTTTTTTATTGCACTTCAAACTGATCATTGCCAGTTTCAAACTGATCATAAGGGACCGGTTCCAGATGCCTGACCCAGCCTTTTGGAAGGCCTTCTGCATCAGTACCAGACTCCAAGCCCAACTCTTTGGGGTGTCAGAGCAGATGGGGTAATCCTGCCCTCTTTGTCTCTGTGACGCCAACCTCTGTCCCCCTCCCCCTCCCAACACCCCACAGCTGGGATAGGCAGCAGCCCAGCACCCAGACAGCAGAATTGCACTCTTCCTCCTTTCACACACTGCCAGTCCCTCAGTTTCCCCACCAAACTGCGTGTAAACCAGAGAACTTCATCTTCCCAATACCTCTCTGGGACCCCACCTGCTTGCCCATTTGCCCACATCGTCCTGGGCCACCCCATCTCTGCAAGGGGCCTCTCTGTGGAAGCGCACAGCCCTTCTGAGGACATACACCCCACCCCACAAAAGGCTTGCAGCATCGCCTGAGCTCCGGGTCTGTCTCTGAGACCCCCAGGCGTCTCTGGGCAGCCCCATCCTCTGGGACCGCAGGCTCAGAGAGGAGCCACAGCCGTTCCCTGCCTCGATGCCTCGGCCCCACCCACCAGTTCCTCCTCGGCAAAACCATCCGTCCACCCACACCTGTCTTCGCTGCCCCGGCACCATTGAGAAGGGCAGGGCCTGAGCGGGCGTGTGGCCTGGCACGTGGCTCGGCCCATGGTCAGCTCTGCTTTGACAGCGGCAGCCGGGCCGTCCTCTGTGCCCTGAGCTGTGGGTGCTCAGAAGAGCACACATCCACCTGGGGTCCCACCTGTGCGCCCCCCACCACAGCTCACCTTGAAGGCTGGCCCTGGTGTCCTGTCCACGTAGGGGGTTTCTGATCCTTCAACTCTCACTGGTGTGTTCTCAACCTCTCCCCAGGTCATCAGCGGAGACTCGCTCACACCTGCAGGTGGAGAACCCACAGGCACTTCAGACGAGGGGGCCCAGGTGGGAGCACAGCCCAGGCCCTCCTCCCCCAATACAGTCCCCCCATCCACCCTCAGCGTACATTCCAGCGAACGAACACCAAGGCTGGATTCTGGAACCCTGGCCTCTCTGCCCTCTGAGGGACACAAGGCCACTGTGGGCCCACGGCCTCTATAGCCAGGGGGCTTAGCTTGGAGGAGGGGCGCTCCCCAGAGAAGCTGGGCTGGTCAGTGAGGTCCCCTTCCTAGCACAGGGCCACCCCAGCGGAAGAGACACTCAGGGGCTTCCAGAGGTGCCGTTTCTCCCAGGGCCCTGGGCAAACCCCCACATGCCCGTGCCTATGTCATGGCCACCAGCTCCCCAGAGCACAGGGGCCAGTGCGTGGGAGGGCAGAGGGACAGTGTGTGTACTGCGAGACCGTCCCCACGGCTCACACACCCTCTGTGTGAGGAGATGCAGGGCTGGGGCCCAGAGACCCCTCCTCACAGTGCTAACGTGGGACCCAGAAACGTTACCCCAGGACGGAGGGGACAGCCAGCCCCAGCCCAGGCCAGTGGCAGGAGGTAGGCGGCCTGAGAGAGGGACACAGGCTCCTGCAGCCCCCCAAGGCCTATCCTGCCCACCCCCACAGGCCAGGCACGGCCCCTCAGGCCCCATGTGTAACCAGCCTCCTGCAGACAATAACTTGCCTTCCACGCACATCTACATAAGAAGTATGGCAACCCACTGGACCGCACTGCCCTCACTGCAAGCCAGGCCCCAGGCATCCCCTGCGCCCCTCAGCATCTCACCACACCAGTCTGTCCAGCAGAGCCTAACACCCCTGGTTCTGGCAAACTCCGTCTGTCCTGCCCAGCTTTGGGGGAGGGACAGACCACC